TCCCCTGATCACAGTCCCACTATGTTCAATGGGCTGGTACCTAAGCCTGGAGAGGTAAGGACTTCGCTGCCCCCTTCAAGGAATTTACCATCTAACGGGGAAACAGATCAGTAAACAGACAATTATAAACATTACAATATGGTGTAATAAACCTTACACTTCCTGCTATGGAAATATAGAGGGGTCCCTAGCTCAGGCTGATGGGACACTCTAGGGGGGAAACCATGGAAGGCTCCCTGGAAGAAGTGATGCCTGCACTCAGTTTTAAAGACTAACTAGCAGTTAGCATTTAAGGTCAAGGGCTGGAGCATTCAGGCAGAGAAAACATGCTCAAAGGCTGGATAGGGTATAGTGAGCACAGAGGAACAGATGTCAACAGATCCATTTTCTTTTCTCTTCCTCCTAACCGCCACCTTTTTCATCTCTTATCCACAGCTTAACACCTACTCACCACCCTCTGTTCTCCTTTCTTCTCCTCTTTCTCTTCCATTCTCTGAAGATGAGGAGAGGAATGTCACCTAGTGAGTTCAGAGCTAGTGAGGTAACAGAAGAGAATACCAGTGTGATGATACGGGAAAGGTGGTTCTGTGTCAGCCTCCACGGAGAGCATAGCCCTTCCCTGTCTCCTTAGCCCCCCTCTGCCCTGCTGTGAAGACCCTGCTCCTTTAAGGTACATGCCAGCCACCTATAACCCCTCCACCTGTCTCCGTCAGGGCCATCCATGGATGGATGGAATTCTGGGCACTTCCCTACTTCACGAAGACTCTGGCACCTAGCTCCCCATCCTGCACTCCAGCCCCAGTCCTGACGTTAACCTGGGTAGAATCAGCTTCTGGCACCTTGGCCTCTCAGCTCCGTGATGCCCACATCCCCAAGTACACCCACCACTTCAATCACCCGTTCCCCTGATTGCATCCTGGTCTTTCTCCTCACCCAGGACTGCTCTGTTCCTCTTTCTAATCAGAAACTGAGTTATCTCCCTCTGTGACCCAGCTCGTGCACTCAATTCCTCCAACTATGCCAGTTCTCTGACCTCATCAACACCACCAATTCGCTGATTCTAATCCCTCCTGCCTCTCCCCCCCCCCCCATATCCACCTCCAGTCTGCACTTCCTTTTCCACCTGGCTCAGATTTCTGTCCCAATACTCAGACATTTTACCAATATCCTTAACTGCCTTGCTTCATTGTCTTTAAATCATCCTTGGCTACTCCCTTCCCCTCATCCTCCATAGCCCATTAATCACCAAGTTCTGTTAAAATTTAAATAACTTTGCAAACCACTCCTGTCTTTGTCTCCACTGCCCCACCTTGGCTTTCAGCACTGCTGTCCTGGACAGCCAAAAACTCTGGTAGCTACCTTTCTTTCTTTGTTTCTTCATTTCTTTCTTTGTTTCTTCTTTTTTAGTTTATTTATTTTGAGAGAGAGAGAGAGAGAGAGAGAGAGAGAGAGAGCGCGCGCGGGCACACGCATGCGCACAAGTGGGGGAGGGGCAGAGAAACAGAGAATCCCAAGCAGGGCTTGATGCAGGGCTCAAACTCACAAATTGTGAGGTCATAACCTGAGATGACTGAGCCACCCAGGCACCCCAGTTACCCTTCTTTTAATCTTGCTTCTGTAGCATCAGCGGCAGGGGGAGGGGGCGGGATGCAACCTCCGATTTTTTTTTTTTTAATGTAAATGAATCAATTGTGTTATTCTCCAGCTTAAAGGCAACCTTTCACAATGGCTTCTTCATCCCCTCAGGACAGAGTCTTCACCAGGCTTCAGAGTTCACAGTCTGGTCTCTGCAATGCCTCTGGCATCACCCTGTACTGTCCTCAGCTCAAACTCCAGCTCTTTAGCCATAGTTTCTTTGGGTTCCTTGACTACTGCATGCTCTAACTTGAAGTCCGTGACCACAGAGTGTGACCGAAGGGGCCCTGGGGCTCTGTGCCATTCTCCCTTGTTACATGATACTGAGGGTTCTTCCAAAAATAACATTCCAGGAGTCAGGTCCCAGCTTGTCTGATTTCTTGCAATGATGTCCTTCCTCCTTCCAGAAGAGAGAAGATGAAATTTGGAGCACGAACTGGAAAGGATCCTGTGGACACTTCAATGCCTCCTACTTATTATAATGAGAATGAAGTGAATGTTTATTGAGAGCTTACCACGTGTCAGGTACCAGGCTAAGCACTTTATATGCGTGATTTATTTACTTCCCACAAACCCTATGAAGTGCCATAGTCACCCCTATTTCATGGAAGAAAAACCTGAATCTCAAAGGGGTTATAGTAACTTGATTGAGGTCACAGAGTTGGTTACCAGCAGAACACAGATCTGAGCCTGTATCATTCTGGTTTCGAAGTTTAACCTCTGAATCACTTCATTATACTGAATAGCTAGACGGGCAGGCGGTGGGTATCTCACGTTTTACACGTGAATTGGGGAAATGTATGTTCAAACCATTACTGCTTTTGAAGGGTCTCAGGTAATTAAACTAAGGACCAACCTTGTCCCCAAACTCGAAATCTCAGCGTCAAAGCAAACCATCCAGAGCGCCAAAGACAGAGCTCAACAACTATTCCATTCCGCTTGTCTTCAGGTCTCTGGGCAGACCTGGACCAACATATGTGTCATGTTTCCTTGACAGCTCGCCCAGTACCTTTTTCTCTGTGTGTGTGTCTGACTGAAGCAGGTTCTGACCGGTCAATAACCCCCTACTTCCGTGCCCCGCGACAACTCTGAACAATTTCCAGCCAGAGCATAAAGTACTCATGGCTGAAGGTAATCAGAGAATGCAGGTTGAGGACGAAAGAGAGAAGGTATGAAGCATCTTGCTGACCCGTTAACACTGCCAAACACTCTTGCTGGGCTCCCAGTAAGTGCGGCCCTGGAAGTAGGCCATCTCTTACCCTCTCACTCATACCACGATTTAAGTAAGTGGCTACCAAGGGCTCAGCATCCCTTTGGGTTATAACAGATTCTGGAGAAGCAGGAGGCAGACCCTGCTTCAAGGAGCTCTCAGGCTAGTGGGGAAGACAAGAAATGCACAATCAAGGGGCGCCCGGGTGGCTCAGTCAGTTGAGCGTATGACTTCAGCTCAGATCATCATTTCACGGCTCATGAGTTCGAACCCCAAGTTGGGCTCTGTGCTGACAGCTCAGGGCCTGGAGCCTGCTTCGGATTGTGTCTCCCTCTCTCTCTGCCCCTCCCCTGCTCATGCTTTGTCTCTCTCTGTCCCTCAAAAAATAAATAATAAAAAGAAATTAAAAAAAGAAATGCACAATGGAACAATTAGCATTAAGCATTCGGACAGCAACATAAGAACAGAGCACAAGAGTTTTCCGAAGGCGGTAACTCCACTATTTCCTAACTCTGTGAACCTGAGTACGTTTTGCTTAGCCTCTCTGAGCCTCAGGGGCCACATCTGCAAAACTGAGATTGTAACAGCTACTTCAGTAGCTTGTTGTAAGGATCAGTAGGGATAGGGTGTGAGAAAGTGATTTACAAATACAAGAGATTACTATTGCCTCATGGGCTTTGAAAATTAAAAAGGAGTTCCAAATGCAAAGTATTACCATTGCTCCATAGGGGACAAGACAACTATTAAAAGGGCTTTAAAATGCATGCAGACTGTATGAATCCCTGCCTTGAATGCTTGTCCCTCTGGTGTCTGCAAAATGCACTCCCCCACATTCTTTTTTTTTTTTATTTTTTTTCAACGTTTATTTATTTATTTGGGACAGAGAGAGACAGAGTATGAACGGGGGAGGGGCAGAGAGAGAGGGAGACACAGAATCCGAAACAGGCTCCAGGCTCCGAGCCATCAGCCCAGAGCCTGACGCGGGGCTCGAACTCATGGACCGCGAGATCGTGACCTGGCTGAAGTCAGATGCTTAACCAACTGCGCCACCCAGGCGCCCCATCCCCCCCCCCACATTCTTTAAGTCTTCCCTCAAGTATCACATTCACTGTGACATCCATCCTGATCACCCTATTTGGCCATGCAAACTTCCCTCTCCTCCAGACCCTTAACACGCCATATACCAGAGCCCTAATCAATTTATTTTTCTTTTCTCAAGTACTTATTGCCTTCTAACACACTCACTCATTTATTTTTTATATTTAGTGTGTATCATTTTTCTCCTCACACTAGAATATAAGTTCCAGGAGTGCAGGGATCTTTTTTCATTTTTTTTTCATTAATGTATTTGCAACCAAGCTGAGTGCCTAGTACATAGTAAGTGCTCAGTAATTTTGGTTCAGTGACAGAATGAAAAGTTGAAATCCATGTGGAATGGCAGCCACAGCAGAAGACATTCAGGAAAGAGTGAGTACAGGAAGACAAAACAGAAATCGACAGCTTGGTCTGGTAAGACGAGGGCTGAGAGGCCCATGACTGTATTGTGTGAACCACGAGGACTTTGAAATCGCAGAACAAAACCAGAGGTGCTCCTTGAAGGTCACTAGAGGCCGTTTGATTCCCATACAAGAATTCATCTTATACGTGGATAGTGAAGGGACTCCTGTGTCACTGCAGAAGAAAACTGTGAATAACTTCACAGAGAATAATTTCATTGTGTGTTGTTAGCTTTCCACTATCATATAATAAATCATCCCCAAACTTGGCAACCTAACACAACACAAACTGATTATCTGAATGAGTTTCTGTTGGTCAAGAATTCAGGCAGCTCTGTCCAGTGGTTCTGGCTCAGATGTCTCAGAAGGTTGCAATTAAGACCTTGGAAGTGGCCACAGTTATTTGAAGGCTTATCTGGAGAGAAAAGATCTACTTCCAAGATGGCTCATTCACGTGGCTCTTGGTAGGAGACCTCAGGTCCTTGCCATGCAGAACATTCTATAGGGCTACTGGAGTGTCCTCATGACATGGCAGATAGTTTTCCCCAGGATGAGTGATCCAAGAAAGAATAAGGTAGAAGTCATAATACCTATTATGACATATTCTCAGAAGTCACAATCTGCCATTTAGGCATTATCCTATTGGTATACAGGTCTTCCCTATTTAATGTAGACGGAGATTACATAAGAACATGAATACCAGAAAACAGGGAGTATTGAGGGTCATCTTGGAGGTTGACCACCATGGAATGTAACTAAGGAAGGATCCAGAATGTATGGAGGACTGCACAAATCTATGGAAAGCATTCATGACCTCCTACCACCTCCCTCTAGCTCACCAAAGAAGACTGGCCAGAAGGCAGACTTTGTGCCATCAGTCATCCAGAGCAATCCAGGCCTTCAGTTATATACACTCCCCAAGGAAAGACGTGTATGGAAATATCATTGTTTCTTTAGGGGGCCTGACATCCTCTGCTTGGGACCCCAGATGCTAGTTCCTGCTTGTCAATACAATTCTCATATTGTTCCTGCCATAAATGAACATAAGAGCTGAGGAAGCTCAGAGTCCAAGAAGGAATGACTCCATGACCTGAGGAAGATGGCCAGGGAATGGAACACCCATGATGTCCTTGAAATCCTCTACCTGCCCTAAATAGTAAGCCTTTTTAATTGGCCAGAAATAGATGCATCGATTAGGAAAGACTCCTCTCCTGTGAAGGATTCACAGAAAAGGAAAAGAGACAAAGAAAGGGAGTAACTTTCAGGATCAGAGAGTCCTAGGGCCAGAAGCTATTGAGTTACATCCCTTTCCCAGGCAGGACCATCCTTCATCCAAAATGTGGGTGACATCTGCCTCTGCCATTAATGACCCTCAAAAGATGGACACCATGTATTTGTGGTAGCTTTGAGGATCTTAATGTGAGGTTCTTTGGGCTTCTCAACCAAGGGTAGAAGAAAGAAAAGTCTCCGTGTTCTTGTGCACCAGTATTTTCTCCTTATTTTTGATTTTCTATAATAAGTGGCCTTTGCCAGAGTGCACCATCCAACGCCACAGTACCAATCAAGAAGGCTCCAACCAAGTATAAACTGATGGGTGCCAGAGGGGAGGTGGGTGGAGGGATGGACAGAATGGGTGAAGGGGAGTGGGAGGCACAGGCTTCCAGTAATGGAACAAATCAGTTGTGGGGACAAAGGGTACAGCACAGGCAATATGGTCAGTGGTATTGTAACAGTGTTGTCTGAAGACAGGTGACAGCTGCACTTGTGGCGAGTGCAGCATAACATATGGACCAGTGAGTGCAGCTCCTCTTGCTCAAGATGAGTAAAAACTTCTGGCAGGGGAGAGCCAGTGATTGTGGGGCAGGTAAGTGGAGAGTGTAAGAAAGAAACATAGGCTTGAATTTTGTGAAAGCTTTACAAATATGCTTAATTTCAGAGATGTAAAACCAGGTGCTCAGTGAGTGCAAAAGGAAAGCAGCTGAAAATGCCCCCCCCCAGTTCCTTTTTTTAATTTTTAATTTTCTTATTTAAAAAACTTCTTTTAATGTTTATTTTATTTTTGAGAGGGTGGGGGGGCATGAATGGGGAAGGGCAAAGAGAGAGGGAGACACAGAATCTGAAGCAGGGTCCAGGCTCTGAGCTGTCAGCACAGAGCCTGATGTGGGGTTTGAACCCACGAACTGCAAGATCATGACCTGAACTGAAGTTGGAGGCTGCATCAACTGAGCCACCCAGGTGCCACTCTCCCCTTCCAGTTCCTTAATAATTACAATAACACTTATTACAATTAACGTTTATGGAGCGCTGTGCTTACTTTTGCCAGGGACTCTTCCCAATGTCTTATATCTACTGCCATAAGTAATCACAGCAACGCAACCATCTCAGCATGAACATCCCCACGTACAGATGAGAACCCCAGCTGACAGCAGTCAGCCAACTTGCCTAAGGTAACACAGCTAGTAAGTATTGCAGTCGGAATCCAAATTCTGGCAATCTCGCTCCAGAGCCCACAGGCTTAACCATGCTGTGTTTTAAGGGCTTAAGTAAGGGACCAAATGCTAAGCGGCATTCATAAAATTCATGGTGAGGTTCACCTACACAGGCTAGAAGTCTTCTAGCTTATTGGGAGGTGATCCCCATTATCTGGTCATTTCAGTATAGCCTGGAGTGCTGTTGAATCTTAGGAATTCCACGGTAGCAGGCAGCATGCAAAAGTTCCTTTGTTTTGTCGGGGAAGAAACCAATGTGCAGACTAACTGCCCTGCCCAGGAACACCCGGGCCTCTTCGGCCTCTGTCCAGCAGAAGAGCACCGAGCAGTTAGTCCTTATGACAGCGCTCATGAGTTAATCCCGCGTCTGTGTAGGACCCCAGGCCATCCCACTCCTCCCCACTTGCCCTAAACTCAAGCTTAGTCTTGGAGATGTGACAAGTTTTCATCCCATATGGTGAGAAAACAACACCAAAGGCCAAAGGGAGGCAGCAGCCTGAGTTGTATCCTCTGGCAACAGTTTGGTGCGCCTCAAACAGATGAGCAATGATGGCATCCCAGTTTCAGCCTAGCTTCTCCAGGGAAGCCAGGACTTCCATGAGTCCACACCTTCTCCTGCCCTCCCTTGAGTGAGAAGGCTCTGGTGTCTCTCCCTTTTTCTGCTCCTGTCCCCTCTCCTGTGCTCCCATTGCTTGCTGAGATTCATTCCCAGTGTACCTGACCCAAAGGAGCGAGACCCAGGCATAGAACAATTTCTTGGACGGTCCTCAACTTTAAAAATCCCAAGAACTTATTCCATCCACTCTTCTCCCTCTGCAACCTCCTCTTTTCCTGGTCTCCAATGCAAAGCTTGCTGTCACTTCAGTTTATCAAAGAAAGTGCCTTCTTAGACCTATTTCCCCTTCCTTATTCTGTATGCCAATGACCATAGGTCAGAGAGGGCGATTACTTTAGCATCAAACAGTCTGGCCTTGAATCTCCACCCTGCACATTATTAGCCCTGTGATCTTGTGCAAGCAACTTATCTCTCTAAGCCCACGCTTCTTCCTCCATAAAAAGGGGGATCATAACAGTGGCCAGAGTTGTTGCAAGATGAAGAGAAGAAATAAAAAACACATGTCAAATGCTCAGCACAGTACCTTGCACACAGCAAGTGCACAATAAACGTTAGCCATTAGGCTGATTGGGCCAGCAACGGAGGGATTGACGAGCAGGACCACTGGTCAAAAGCAGCCCTTTTAAGGACGCTTGTGAGTAAGCCACTTTCCCAGACCAAGGGTTCCCGGGGAATTGCTAGTGATGCTGCTGCCTGGGGTAACAGGAAGGAGAGAAGGCAATTATACAGCGTGTAACAAAAATAATTTCATTTCTAATGCCTTTCCCCTGCTGAGCCACTTAGAATCCAAACAATGACAACAAGGCAGGGGTGGAAATGAGAAGGGCAGGCACGTTTTGAAGGAGCCTGGTGACAAATGGATGGGCCCCAGGACTCATTTTGACTCCCAGACATCTGCAGGGGCGTGTCCTTGGGGCTGTGGCTGCTGTTCTGTGCCGACCTACAGTGCCCTGGAAGGCCCGTCTGCCCAGGCTGGCTATGGGCCTATTGATGGACCCCAGGGGGCTGAGTCTGCCTGGATTCACTTATCATTCTCTGTCTGGGAACAGGCTGACATCACTCAGAGTGCTCCAGGGAAAGCCAGGGGTCCTCCCCCCTTCCCCTACCCATCACTGTAGACAGCAAAGAATTCCCCTGTCTCCTCCCGGAAAACATGAAAACCCCTGCAGGTGCCATGAGATTACAACAAATTGGGCAAACCACACTAAGCTGATGTCTAATACATACGTATTTAACATCAGCCTTTTCTGGGGGTCCCCGAAGAGTTTACTTCTTCTCGGTTTCCATCCCTGTACACCTCTCCACACTCTCTCAGATGCCCCTGCAGCCTCCAGGCCTCTGAATTTGGGACATTGCAGCACCATGGCCTCTTCCACCCAGGGGAGGGGGGAGTCCCCAGGTCCCAGTGCGTCATCTCTGGCTCCTCCCTGTACACTGGAGCCAGAGCCAGCAAGAGCCTCTGCTCCTCTGCAGAGAAACATTCCCATGTCTCCTAGGCAGAGAGGAGGCTGCACCCTCCCGGGGGGCATCCCAGCTGCCAAGGGTGTTGGTTTAACCCATTTATCAGATTGAGGTGAAAAGGACAAGAAGAGGGGAAATGTACAGCCCAGAAGGGCAAGTTGTGCTCCTTTCTTTGGACCCAAATGGGAACAAACCAAGTGGTGAATCTTGTAGTTTTACTCCTCCACCCACATGCACTGACACTATAATCAAGCTATTTTCCACACCTATGCATTTAAATAATATGATTCTATTGTTTAAAAAAAATAAGAAAGAAATCTTCAATGACAATGGTGGTAGGGACAGTTGAGAGGCAGGGATGTATTCATGTTGGATTCTAGCACTATTAGTGTCATTTAAAAGGCTGCAGATAATATCACCCAGAGCTGGCAAATCAGCAAACTGCAAACCCTTGGTGGTTCCATGTAGTATCCTGGAGAGCTGGAGATGCTGGAGCTTGTACAGAACCCCAGAGCCAAATCTTGGAGTCCTCTCAGGGTCATGAGAGTCCCTACTGGGGGGTGAGAGAGGGGAATGAGGTGCTGGGATTCAGCTGAGAGAGAAGCTATATACACGGAAGGGTACCTACCGAGGATCCGAACCACATTGTGCCATCTCCTGCTGCCTGTGGCTTCCAAGTATCTCCTAGATGCAGGATGCTCTCCTGCTAAGCAAGGCTCCTAGCAGAATGGAGAAGTTTGGTTACCAAGCCCAGTCCTGGTGGCTTGGAACTAGAAAGCTTATGCCACTCCTTCTGGGAGCACTTTGGTAATTGGAGACAGCCCACCATAGTTCTGGACTAAGAGAAAATCTACCCTGTTTAGGGGTCAAGAGCAGCCAGGATGACCTCTGAGGAGCCCAAATAACCTAAGGGTTTAAAGTCCTGGTAACTATGTCCTTGCAGAAATCGGACTGAGTAGGCAGCCATGCTAAGATATTTTCAAGACCTCAAATCTCAGGTTACTGTGACAACCCAACTCTGGGAGATATGGCTTGGGATTCTGACATTATAAAACCTCAGTGTTGATTCTCCCCTCCTTTACCAGTGGCTAAAACACCTTCACTGCTGGAGATTCATAGGAAGGGAGAAATGGGATTTGGCAGGTCAGAAAATATGAGTCAGTAGAAGGGGCAGCATTGGCTCAAGGAAGTCTCATTATCCTTAACCCCCACCCCACCCCACCCCACCCCACACAAACTGTGTTATTTTCACAGCCATGCTACTTCCTCGACACCAATATTTGACTTTCACTTGCAGGGAAGATGAAGACAGCTCTTTCCAGGCCAAGTCCACATGACTTTCCCCTTACACATGTTTACCCACAGAACAGGGACATCAGACCAGTCTAGCTTCATCAATCCCAGGTGAATATGAGGCCAAAAAAATTTTTTTATGAGATTATGAGCTCCCTTTGTTTCCCCTGGTAGGAGGAGGAACAGAGGGTTCCTCTCAAGTTCAAATTCCCCTACATCATTGCATGTTCTAGACAGAAATAATCCAACCTTTCTGGTGAAGGTAGAAAACGGACTAGCCCACAAGCATCTCTTCTGGCCTTATTCACCCCTACAAGCCTGCTAGCTTATAGAGCACAAGAACCAAATCAATAGAGCCAATATGTCACTGCCAGCAGGGCACGAGTGGCTACCAGCCTTGGGGAACATGACGTGCTACTAAGCTGAACTAATCACTCCTTGGCATTTCAGGAGCAGTTGGGTTAGCAGACCACAGCACATGCATAATGAAAGACAATAATTCCTCCAGAAGGGGAGAGTAAGAACAACATAATGAATTGGCCCTTAGAAGAGGGCAGTTACTATTTACACAGGTCAACCTAAAGCCATATCAGTGATTTTTAGAGGCCAAAAATCTGTTTTAGAAAGAAAAACCCGGAGGATTTGGCAGAGAGGAGATTGGGCTGCATCCTTCATTTCAGCAAAAGGATTGAATCTGGGGGATGGACCCTCCATCAGCAGTGTCACCCATGAAGAATTTAACATGATAAACTGAAGAAGGCAGAGAGGTCAATTAAAGACCTAATCATGCTCCCTCTAGCCAAAGAAGTATGAACTTTTACGAGAGATGATTTATTAACCTGCGTACATATGAATCACCCAGAAATATTGTTAAAATATACATTCTTGGGTCTCAGCTTGAGATTCTCATTCAGCAGCCCTTCAGAGAAGAACAAAAAAAAATCCATTTTTAACTAGGTTTCCAGGTGATTCAGAGGCAGGGAGTTCATTAAAACAGAACAACCATTGGAGAAATGCTGCCCCAGACCTCTACAACAAATCAGAATCTCCCATTTTCCAAGCACCCTTCATCCCCAGGGTGTGCAAAGAAGGTAGAAGGAACTCAAAGTGTTCTCCAAGAGACCAAGGCTGGGGTTATCATGGCTCTGATCTTTGTGTAACCCTCTCAGATATCTTCCCTACCCGATGTCTGATTTCAGAGGTGGCATCCTTTCCACTCACCCCCCTCAGATATGCCAGGAATCTTGAACACTAAGCAAAGAAGTCAAAGGCAGGGGGCTGGGACCCAGAAAACCAGCCCACTAGTTCTCTTGCAATTGGTCACATTCACCAAGGCCTCTCTCTCTCTCTGCCCACCCTCATCAAACACAGCACCAACAGAGAGAAACATGAGAAGAATGATTTCTTTTTCAAGTGGTCCTAATGCTGCAGGATGAATCAGGGGTAAGCAGAATATTTGCATGGTGGGGGGCGGGGGGGAAGGGTAAGAATCACTGATCACCTAGTTCCTGGGAAAGAGTGAGGATTAATCTGAAAGGTTTACATCCTGGTCAAAATCCAGAAATGATTGGATCTGCAGAAAGAACTGGAGAGAGATCCACTAAGTGCCTTGTACCTCACCAACTTCGGGAACCCCCAGCACATAAAGTAGTGGGGTGCCAGGTGGGGAAACTTCACTCGCCCAAACACCTTCCCTGTGGCTGAGAGCAAGGGCATGTCCCTACGGAGCTGCGGTGCTGTGACTTGCATCCATGGCGAAGCCTGTTGTGTAGACGCACACGCACCCTCTTACCTCTGCTCTTCAAGAGGAACCACTCACAGGCTGCCCGCGCAGACAGCGTTGGGGACCTGCTCTGTCTGGCTCTTAGAGCTGCCTCTTGTCTCCGCACACAGCTCTGTCGAGGTTCTTGGTCCATTCCAGAGTCGAACAGTCACCCTCCACTACTGCCCCAACCGTCACCCCCATTCCCAGGTCGAGATGATTCTGAAAGCTCAGCCTCCCTCCTTGACTGGATCTCAAACGGAGAGATGGCGAAGAACGTAAATTCAGAACCAAGGACAGCGGCACAACCGGTGGTGGGAGAGGAGGGGCAGCACCGGCCTTGGCTTCTGTCCTTAGAAACTGAAAAGTCTCAGGTCGCGCAAATCCAGACTTGCCAAGAATACCCTTCTCTCTCCCTGGAGGTCAGAATCTCTGGCCGCGCGCCCTGGGGTCCCGGACTTGGGTGCGGGGCAGAAAGTGCCGTCCCGAGATCGTCGGGAGCCAGCCGCCCTGCGAAGCTCCGGCTCGACAAGGGTGGCTCACCGCACTCCGCGGGAGGCTGCCCCCGCACCGCCCGCTAATGACAGGAGCGAGGATTCCCGCCCGGGGCGTGCACGGGATGCCGAGAGGGAGCCAGAGGGGATGACAGCCGCTGTGTTCCTGTCCCCCCTGGGCTAGCAGCCCGATGGAGAGTCGGTGGAGAGCCTGCCCGCAGTCGGGTCGGTCCCAGGCAGACGGCGCCAGAGTGGCCTGACAAACTTCTAGTCCCAGTCGCGCCGCCCTCCGAGCTCCCCCTTCCTCTCCCTGCGACCCGCCTCGGCCCCCGGCCGCCCGTCGCTCCAGCGTGCGCGCGCTTACCTTCAAGCCATAGGGCGCCCGGGGGCAGAGACGGCGCCGGCTGCTCGAGGCTTCCGGCTCCCGCCGCATCCAAGCGCGGCCGCCCCTCCGGCAGCCGTCCGGGCCGCCGCTCTCCTCGGCGGGTCCCTGGCTCCCGGCCCCGCCGCGCCGTTCAGAGCCCCGGCGGGCAGCCGCTTGGCCGGCTCCGGCCCGCGGGGAGCAGTGGCCGGGCGGCTGCGGGGGGGGCGGCCGCGCTTGGATGCGGCGGGAGCCGGAAGCCTCGAGCAGC